TTTCTTGTCCACAGAGACAACTCACGTGGCAGGTCTTAGTGGCGTTACTCTTGGTACCTTGCTCATGATGTCCACCACTCTGATTGCTGCTTGTGCTGTAGGCCTTGCAATCGGCTGGAAATTGTCACTCGTCTGCATCGCCACCATGCCACTTCTTCTCGGTTGTGGCTTCTTCCGATTCTGGATGCTTGCTCACTTCCAGAGACGATCGAAGGCTGCGTACTCATCGTCAGCCACCTTCGCGTCCGAAGCCATTTCCGCTATTCGTACTGTTGCTGCCCTCACCCGTGAGCATGATGTTTTGAAGCAGTATCATGATTCTCTGGTTGAACAGCAGCGCCGCAGTCTGATGTCGGTTCTGAAGTCAAGCGCACTCTATGCCGCTTCTCAGTCTCTAATTTTCCTCTGCTTTGCCCTTGGTTTCTGGTATGGTGGTACCCTTATCGGCAAAGGTGAATATGACCAGTTTCAATTCTTCTTATGCTTCATGGCCGTCATCTTTGGAGCCCAGTCCGCTGGCACCATCTTCTCCTTCGCTCCTGACATGGGCAAGGCTCACCATGCTGCTGGCGAACTAAAGACCCTGTTTGATCGCAAACCCACTATTGACTCTTGGTCCGAAGAGGGCGAGCGTCTTGCCGAGGTTGACGGAACTCTTGAATTTCGAGATGTACATTTCCGGTATCCAACTCGCCCCGATGTTCCCGTCTTGCGCGGCCTCAACCTTACCGTTCACCCCGGCCAATATATCGCCTTGGTCGGTGCCTCTGGTTGCGGTAAGAGCACAACAATTGCCCTCCTCGAACGATTCTATGACCCTCTCTCTGGCGGTGTCTTCATCGATGGCAAGGAGGTTAGCTCCCTGAATATTAACGACTACCGCTCTCACATTGCTCTCGTCAGCCAAGAACCCACTCTGTACCAGGGTACTATTAAGGAGAATATTCTTCTCGGTAGCGCAAAGGAAGTGGTCCCGGACGAGGCTATCGAGTTTGCTTGCCGCGAAGCAAACATCTACGATTTCATAGTTTCACTGCCCGAAGGTTTTAATACCGTTGTCGGCAGCAAAGGCACTCTCCTCTCTGGTGGTCAGAAGCAACGCATTGCCATTGCTCGTGCTCTCATCCGTGATCCAAAGATCCTTCTCCTTGACGAAGCTACGTCCGCTCTTGATTCCGAGTCAGAGCACGTTGTCCAGGCTGCTCTTGACAAGGCTGCCAAGGGTCGCACCACAATCGCCGTCGCCCATCGACTCAGCACCATTCAGAAGGCCGACATCATCTACGTTTTTGATCAGGGCCGGATTGTCGAGGCAGGCACTCACTCTGAGTTGATGAAGAAGAATGGACGGTACGCCGAGCTGGTCAACCTTCAGAGTCTGGCGAAGCATGGATAAGAGTATTGGTGGGGAAATGTTTGATTATTGTGCTTCACATTTCATCATATTGCTTTAATATGTCACAATTGTTTCTACTTGTTCATATTCCAACGGACGAGATATCCCGAGCTAGACTTAGAAGGGCCGGCTAGACTTGCTTTGCATATGAGGCGTTTATATTTTCGTGGAAGTTTCCATAGACAAAAAGAGTAGCATAGCGTTGCTAAAGGGAAGGCAACATTGAGGAGGAATTTTGACTGTTGTGTTGCAACCCATCACACTCAGATAGTATTATCAAAAGTTTTTCCACTCTGCCGAGAGAAAGTTAGAGTCCTGTTTGTGCTTACAAAGTGAATGGCAAAAATAAACAAATTAAACAATTGTTTGCCGTCTGAAGCGATGGGTGTGGAGTTGTGACCCATGTATGGTTAGCCTGGAATATTCCCAAACGACTGTCGATTTTTATCCGTATTCATTTCCGAGGCATGGTTTATCGTGTGATGCTTCCGGCTATTAATTATTCAGGGGTTGGGCGTGCGCGCTCTGACCTAGCTACGTCTCGTCCAAGATCGGGCCGTTCGTGCGTTCGTCACAGCACGCTTGGCTTGCCCGCCGCCACGTTGTTTGACGTAGACGCCACGTACGAGGCTGTCGACGCCAGGAGCAAGTTTTTCTCTCTTTTTTCTTTCTTTTTTCTTATATATATATGTGTTTTTTTTCCGAGAGTATGGCTGTTGTACGGAGTATCGGAAGGTTCAGTTGTAGTCCAAGACATCATGGGGCAGGTTCTGGAAAAAGAGGTTCAAGGGCGTAGTTTACATGTGCAACTATTCGTTTTCGAAGGCATTGGAAAGTTTGTTGTCATCAGACGTAATGAGTTGAATCAGAGGAGAAAACGAAACAATATAACATGGACTTGATAGATGGGTTCTGTCGTGTAACCAATTCATACCACCGCGTTTCTGGAAACGTGTCGTGATGGAGCAGTAGACATTGGCAAGGATGAGCGAGAGACCCTGGAACGCATGCGAATATTGTGCCAATAAACAAAGAAGGACAAATTGAAGCGAGAACAATCCTGGAATTGGCCAGTGGCAGCGGGAAATGCACAGATACAAGATGCGGGGATGTACGATGGGCCGGGGCATGGTGAAACATGGTAACTACTACCAGTTGCGAGCTTCACCTTGCCTGGGCTGCCGAGAGGGATGAGCGAGACATTGCCGCTCTCCATGTTGAACACAGTTCTGGGAGATTCTCTGCATCGGCAGCTGACTCCGTTTCGGCGCAAGGTGCGTGAATAGCGTCGCTGATATAGTCCATTGCTTGGCTGCCTGCTGGAGGTTTACGTGTTGCATGCATGGATACTGACCAGCATGACTAAGATGCTGCCGCTTAAGAAACCAAATGGCAAAAATGACCATCTTCATCGCCATGTGGCCAGAGACTGACTCGGCACGGGAACAGGGAGCGAACGCAAAGTGGGCATTTCCTCTCCGGTCAGGCAGAGCAGCCACCGAGTCTTGGCAGGGGACGGGAAACAACAATTGGGTGCCCTGGGGGAGACCAGGTCGAGGCCCAGGGTATAAAAGAAGCCGACCAGACGCATGGATAAGACGGGCTGCAAGGAGACATGTCATGTTGGCCCCAAGATGGAGTCGGCGGCAGGGACTCAACTGAGAAACCGGCACGACACCGGATGGCGCGAGACGATGCCATAGCCGTTGGATGTGCCGTTGGATGAGCAGATGGATGAAGCGCTGCCAGACAGAATGGGCCAATGCCCAAAGGTTCCAAAACAAGAGATAGCAGTTGGCGACGGGAGGCGTAGGCGTGGCGTCAGTCGTCCGGAATTGATGGGCGGTGCGTGGATGCGACTTGACAATTGGTGTATTATGGAGTACTCCGTTCAAATAACTAAAGGCGTCAATTGTACGGAGTACACCGAGGTGGTTGGGTGGCTTCAGAATCCAATAATGGTGAGCAAGGGTCACTTGGTGAATTTGACCTGGATTTGATCAAAGAAAACGAATGCGAGCGTCGGGTCGATTGAGGAGACCGCGATGCATTTTGCATTGGGCATTGGGCAGTTTTATGGAAAGAACAACCGTGTTGGCCAGAAGCTAAAAGGAAGGCGAGTACAATCGAGTTGAAACCAGACTTCCCTCAAGTGGTCGGGCTCGATGTCGTTCCAAAACGCTGCCCAAACTCCAGCACAAAGACACGCCAGATGCAGTCATGCTCGCCTTTGTCGTCTCCGAAGCAGGCATTGTGCAAAGTTACGTTCGCAGCGAAGAAATCAATAATTGCCCAGGCACCCAGGGCGCTCGTCCTCCATCGTGCCCACAAGGGACTGACAATTCATATGGCCTCCCGCTGCCACATTCAGGTACCCCCATGTCGCCGCCCTCGGGTAAGTTCCACAGCATGCATGAAGCAATGTCAAGTACAATAATGTACCCGCACTAACGGGGAACAGCATGTCTCCTGCAAGGCTCCATCCACTTTTTTACGTTTGCCCACCAGGCACAGCCCTGCTAATAAATTATTAGCTTGAGAGCAACGACGGAACCAGACCAGACGCTACATGTACTTGGCGAAATAACTAACGCCCGTCCCCGAGTCCGCAAGTCCCAAGTCCTGTGCCGTCCAAAGCCCAACGCGCTCGCTATCCGAAGACCCGCTCAGCAGCTCGCCTGTTTAGGCCTGCATTACGCCGTATCCACGCGGCCGGATGTCTCCAGTCTTGCCCGGTGCTGCTCATCTTTGCTCCTTCCATCCAGCTTCGTCTCTCGCCAGAAGATCGCCTGCCCTTCAGACATCATCACCTCGACGATCACTGGCCTGGTCAAGAGCCTCCAGGAAGGCTGGAAGATAAATGCGTATTGGGCGAAAGTGGTCCTTTGGTTATCCTTACCCTCGCGAGCTGCGTACAATACGGCATTGGACCTGCAGCGCAACTCTTTGTTTGCCTCGTCGTACCGGCGACGGAGGGCGCGACCACGACACAAATTACCGAAACAATCGCTGCACCCTTTGGCCAATTGCCTCGAATCTTGCTGCTTTTCGCCAAGTCTCTGTTCTCGCCACTCTTTTGCAAGCGATTGAGCACTCCCTTTGCTCCGACCGCCTTAATTTGTCACTCGTTTTGCCGAATCGTTTAGCTGGTAGATTGGTTAGAAGCCTTCCCAGGGTCCTGAAATACGCGAAGCCACCGACAACGCAAACTTGTCCAAGTCAAACCGGCGCCTTGTTTCCCAGTCATCGCCTCCATGGTTTCCTAAAGGACCGCCTTTCTTGAAGTGTCCAGCCTAGAACGCTCAGGTCGAAAGCTACGGGAACACTGATGCATCTTCGCCAACAGGAAACCGACTGGTCTTTATTCATCCGCACACATCATTGATATCGTGTCTGGCTGTTTGTTGATACTCAACTCCGCGAAGCCTGGGACGTATTCACGCTTGGGCTTCTGTGGTGCTTCCGACCTTTGTAGTGCTGCTGGAACAATATGTTTAATGTCTCGAAAAAATCATCGAAAATGGATTCAACTATATTCCAAATGGAGCAAAAGTCTAGGCGAAACTATCGGTTAATACTGCCTCGGATAATGTTGCCTACCGTCATGCTTGCCTTGGCTGCCGCATTTACCTCACCTACAGCCGCAGAGAAGGACTTGCTTACACCAAAGATATGTGCGCCGGCATCATTGCTGCCAACTTTAGATCATCCAGAGCCGTCATTGGCAATACCAACGTCAGCTGCAGGGCCTTCCGCTGGAAGAATATCGGGAAGGTTTGGGAAGAGGGCTGGTAATGGCGAATACTCGTCAATAGAAAAGGCTCAGCCCGACAAGCGCTCAGGCGCTACCACAACGAGATCAAACCAGACATCAACCGCCGACACTGCCGCGTCTCCCTTACCATCGCCCTTTGATAACCCTGTCCCCAACGCTTTCCAAGTTCCTGGCAGCGGCGATTCGTGCCCGAAGTTCATCGCTGCATTACTCTCGGATCCTACATTCAAAAGTTGCTATCCTATTTCCATGCTTATTCAGGTATGTTGTTCTCGGCTCATCAACTTTAAATACAGAGTTGCGTGTCTTGGCCTTGCAAGTTTCTAATCTAGTTGTTTCTCGCGCAACAGACTTCTACTTCATTCTTCAACGCTCAGAAGGAGCTTGTGAGCATCGTCAAGGTTCTCGACGCAACATGTGATGTTGATGTCGCCAAGTGTACCGCCTATATGACAAAAGCTGCCCAAAATCTCACTGCAAGCACAAACTGCAAAAGAGAGCTTGACCAGAACCAGACTCAAGTTGTACAAGCCTGGCAGGGCCTACGGGCCTACAACGTTCTCTACTCGGCGACCTGTCTCCAGAACCCTTCATCAACCTCATACTGCTTTGCCAACGCCGTTACGAATCTTTCGAACCCGTCGGATGCATTCCTTTACTTTATGCCCTATGCGACTCCATTACCCGGTACCTCAGTGCCATCCTGCAGTTGGTGCGTACAAAATACCATGTTCATCTATCATTCAGCTTCTGCGAACCGAGCCCAGCTCGTCGCCTCAGTATACCTAGATGCAGTGAACCAAGTCAACACTATCTGTGGGCCAAATTTTGTCAACTCGACTCTACCTGCTGCTGAGAATGGAGCCTTTACAGCCCTAATGCCATCCCATATCAGCATAGCAGCTACTACTCTTTTCACACTTTTTCTCCTCGTATGGTTCTTGTAATCGCCGATTCATTGAACATATCAAGCAATTGGCTCCTCACCCTTTACTTTTGAAAGCGACAGTTTCTCGACAACTTGATATACATACATACATACATATATATATATATATATATATATACAGTTATGCGCATGA